GCCTACTTGTGCTCTCTTTCTCTGTCAAATAAATAATAAAATTTTTTAAAAAACAAATAAAATAAAGTGCGTGTGGCAGTGTGACAGCCCGGGACAAGCAGCACTAACGCAGAGACAGAACCGCGGAAGCAGACTGACACCACGCACTGTCATGAAGGCTTCAGCTATAGTAACGAAATCATCCAGACTGTGGTGTCGCCGCCGGAGAGACGTCCCGCCCAGCAGAGCAGAACGGCGTCCGGAAATGCCCCTTCGGCTCATGGTTACTTGATTTCCAACAAATGTTTCAAATTGATTCAACGGGGGCAAAGGAGAGACTTTCCAATAAACGGTTCTGGGACAGCTACGCACAGAGAAAGAACAAGCCTCAGCTGTTGTCCCAGGCCACCGGCGAACTCAGCCCGGAGTGGATCACAGACGCGGACCGGAAGGGCAGCGCACAGGAAGCCTCCGGAAGGGAGCTTGGGAGAGCCTCTCAGCGCTGGGCGGGTCTCTTAGGACATGAGATGCTCCAGAAAAGACAAAACACGTAGGACTTAGTAAAAGTTAAAACTTTGAACTCCTCTCTTCCAGCGAACGACAAGTCACAGGTGGGGGAAACGTGTGTGTTCGTATGCGTGCGTGTGTACGTGCATCCGCACATGCGTGTGGGCCTATGCACACGTGTAGGCGTTCATATGTACACATACACACGTCGGAGAAAGAAACGTACATGCGGACGAGGTACAGAACTCCTACGACTCAGTAATTATCCGAACGATCCAATTAACAATTTGGCAAGGACTCAATAACCTTGAGAGAAACGGCCTGTAAGCATCACTCATCCTCAGGAAAATGCAAAATAAATGCAAAACAAAGCCGTAGGAGGACACCCTGTGCGCCTGTTAGAATGGTACCAGGACTGAGGGGCGCCGGGGGATGGAACCGCCAGAATGCCCCCGTGCCGCGGGCGGGTCGGTGAATGGCCGCAGCCCCTCAGTGGCTTGGGCTCAGCAGCGTCTGCCAGAGTGAGCGGCGATCATGGCCCATGACGCAGCCCTTGTGTGTCCACCTCTCCCCACCCAGGCTGAACGGGCCACGTCCACACGGACACGGGCGCAGACCCTCCCAGCAGCTGCACCGGGAAGAGCCCACACCGATGACGACCCCACGGCCGTCGGCAGGTGCGTGGCCCAGACGGGCACCTCCACACCGGGGAGCAGCACTCGGTGGCGGGGAGGGGCTGGCGCAGGGAGGGGCCGCCCCGGGACCAGCCGCCGCGCAAGCACGCGAGAGGAAGAAGCCGGGCAAACGGAGGGCAGGCGAGGCACGGCCTGTCTGTAGGAAACCCCAGAAAACGCACGACTAACCCACAGCGACAGGGAACAGGCCGGGGAAGAGGAAGGGTCCCCGAGGACCCCGGGGGCTTTTTGGGAGAAGGCGCGCTGGTATTGGGGACGGCCGCACCCGCGGTCCAAGCTCCCTGAGCCACACCCATGGGAAGGGTGCATGCGGCTGTGTGCCAGTCGCCCGCCGGCAGAGCTGCTCTGTTCTGGGGGCGCGTTTCTCTGCGGGGCGCCCATCCCGTGCTGCTCGCGGTCTTTGATCCATGACCCAGTGGGACCCATGAACCCCAGGTTACACTTGAGCCCTGTAGCTGGAAGAGGACACACCCAGTGAAGGGAGAAAGCTCCTGAGTCCACAGTTGGAGACAAGCGGCTAAGCCTTGAGCCACGGACCCTTCTCGCTCCCTGGGGGGCCACGGCCCACGCCAGGTCAGCACGCAGTAGGATCCTCTGCGGCCCAAGCCGCACAGCCTGCATCCAGCAGCCTGGCTGGGGACAGGCACAGGGCTGCAGCCCCCCACCCCTTCAAGGCCCCTGCCGACTCCCAGTGCCCAGAGCCTCCACCCAGAGCAGGATGTGGTCCCTGTTCCTATGCGAGCACCAGCCGAGTTGCGGTCACACGCACTGCAGTCCCTGGGCCAGCCGCAGACCCAGACATTTCCTGGGACCCCTGCAGGTCCCAGCCTGCTGTCCTGTTGCATCCTCTCACTCACTGTTCCGCCACGGGACGCCACTCTGCAAGCCGGACCTCTCCCCAGGAGAACCTAGAGCCACACGGGACATGAAAGTCACCTCTCAGCCGTGTTGGTGTCCAGTTCTGTGGTCTTAAGTCCACTTGTGTTGTCACACGTCCCTCACCACTGTCTCCAGAACTTTCCATTGTTCTAGCACGGACCTCTGTCCCCATGCAGCACTAACTCCCTACTCCGCTGCTCCAGCCCCTGGCGCCCAGCATCCCCCTTCCAGTCTCCATGGATCCGACGGCTCTGGGCAGCCACGTCAGCGGGTCACACAGGGATGTGTCTTTCTCTGCCTGGTTTACTATGCTCAGTGTCATGTCCGCAAGGTCCGTCCCCGCGTCAGCAGGAGGCAGAGTTCCCTCCTTCTCATGGCCCAGTGCTACTCCTCGGGCCTCATTCCTGCCCAATCACGTGCTAGCAGGCCTGTGGCCGCGTCCCCCTCTTGGCTAGAGTCGCAGTGTGAACCCAGGGGTGCGGGGATCTGCCGGGAGTCTCTGCTTCCAGGGCCAGCTGTCTGTGCCCACCAGCGTGCGACACGGCGACTGCTCGATCTGTCATGGAGGTGCCAGCGGCGGTGCCAGCGGCTTTCCCCACAGCACGTCCTCTCCCACCAGCCACGCACGGGGTCCCGGGGGCCATTCCACAGTTTTTTGACAATGACTGTCCCAACAGGCGTAAAGAGATCAAAGAAATTTTTACACAAAAAATATGCGCCAGGGAATCCAAATAAGGGGAATCCTTTGTTCACCCAGCAGCCCTGTCCACGGTACGGCTAGGACCCGGTAGAGCTGATTTTAAGAGGTGGAGCGACAGGCCGTGAGAGCCTTCCAAATCCTTGAGTTGCCAGTGGATTCACGGAGCAATTCTGGGGGAGGAGGGAGGCGTGAATGGGGTCGGGGGAGGGGGAGAACTAGGTGAGCAGAGCCTGCCCCTGGGCTGCCCGGGGAGGGCCGGGAGAACCAGCCAGGCCCAGGTGCACTGAGCCCAGGGCCGCTCCTCCCGCGCCCGGACCCGAGGCTCAGTGGCAGGTGGGGCCCCACCTCCAGGAGGGGAGGCGGTGGCCGCCACCAGGCAGGCCAGGGGGCCGCAGGCTCCTCGCGGCCGGGCTGATGCAGGAGCTGGCACTGCGCCCCCTCCTTTAAGACACGAACCCCGAGAGCGGCTGGAGGGAGCGGCTGGAAGGCCGGCCTTCCCACACCGATGAAGCACACGGAGAGGCTGGGGTTTTCGCCCAAATATTTTATTTAAATATTAAATTAAAAAACATACACCCGCTAATCATTTGGCATACATTTCTCATGTTAACATAAGAAATAAAATAATTAAACCAGTTACAGTAAAAAAACAGACTATGTACATCTCAGATCACGTAGTGCCTAGAACCAGGCGCCCAGCCTGCCCCACGCGTGTGGGGAACTATGGAGCACACGTCGCACACGCCTACACATAAGACGCAGGGACACACGACTCACAGCAAGAAAGGAAATTTCCGAGGAAGTAAAGTGCTTGTCACGGTTCTGAGGCCTTTGATCTGTGGCGGTAGAACGGCGAGGAGTGGAACAAGGGGGAGTCAGCCAAACGGCCTCTATGGACCCCGGAGGCCTGGGCCCGGGCTGCGCCGACACCTTCCTGCCCCCAGCCCCCGTCTGCGAGCAGCAGGAGGCTTTGGTGATTTCTCAGTGGCCAGGCACGAGAACAGTCCCTTCCCCAAGGCTGGCGACAGCCACAGGCCAGTAGCAGAGGTGGTGGCGGGGGTGCAGGGGGACCGGCAGCAGCAAGCAAGGCAGACACACGGAGCCCGGCGCACGGCCCGCGGCCTCCCTGCCCGCCGGGAGCCTGGGCAGTCTTTGGCTTCTACAAATGCCCACCTTTCCCCTGTTAATACTGTAGGTCGTAAGAGCCAAAGTGAGCTGAAGGCACCTGGGTCGGGAAAGGATCAGGGGCGGACGGGTGCAGGGCGGTGAGGCAGCGGCTGCCGCAGGACGGAGCCCCCGCCCGGGTTCACCTGCAGGGAGGACACACCTTGTCTCCCTCCTCCACGCAGACCGGGGCTCGCGCTTTGTAACGTTACCAGAGAGGAGGATTTAAACCAGGAACACAAAGGTGTAGTAAAAAATATAAAAAATAAGTAGTGTCTGTCTGTTTCCTATTTATACACACGTACAACGTCTGCTCTGAAAAAGGAACGAACCTGGAACAACACGGATCTGGCCTCTCACGCCACGCTCTCGAACGGGAGCCCACCCAGCGTGGGGCCTGCAGAAGGCGGGGGACCCCAGATCGCCAGCCGGCTGTGGGCAGGCAGGGCGGCCAGCCGGGACCCGTGCCCGCCAGCCGCACCCCTGCCACATTGCACGCCCCACCCCCGGTCGGTTGTTCTTTTTGGACCCTGATAATGAAATGCATAAAAACTTAACTAGCAGCGGAAATAAGACGGGCAGCAGGAAGAAACCTCTCCGGGCCCCTCCAAGGCACACGGGGGCTTCGAGGCCACGGGCCCTGGGCTGGATCCCCAGCCTCCCAGTCACCCACCCCCTTCCAGGCTCTTCCTGGGGCTCCTCTGAGGAATCCTGGAAACCCGAAGCTCGAGCAGTTGATAAAAGTTCTCATCTAAAATCGGGAACAAACCGTCCTCGGGCTCTGATTTCAGGGTAGGGAGTTCCAGGAATTGGTCGAGTACTTTCTCCTGGGCTGGCCAACAGAGCTTTGTGGAAACGGATGCCTAAGCAGAAGTTCACAGTTCTCGCTCTGAAGTGTAAATGTGTCGGGAAGCGGAGATCGTTAACTAAAACAAAAGGTACTAAACACACACAGGCACACACACGAATGCACGGCTCCCTCCGCGGCCCCCGCCACCCTCACCACCCCTCCCGCCGCCCGCAGTGGCCCTGGCCTGTCCTGCCTAGCCCTGCGCCTCGCGCCATGCCACCCGCCGTCCCCTTCCCATCTGCCCACCCCAACACGCCCCTCGGTTATTATTGTTCTTCAGAACGTTTCCAGGCCCTACTCAGAGTTACATTTGCTCAGTGCAAAGAAAAAAATAAAAAAACCAACAAAAAAGCCAAAACACCGAACGTATTGCTTGTTTCGCTTCTAGAAACGTATTGGCTTCGAGTCCGGAACCGTCTTCCCATACTCCGAAATTATTGCTTCGAAGGGCCAGCGGCCCGAGCAAACGTGGGGCCCTCACTGTACCAGCACAAACGTGCCCCGCGGGCCCGTGGTCAGGTCCTCCATCTCGCAGTCCGCCTGCGGCAGCCCCGTAGCCACAAAGCCAGGGGGCAGCGTGGCAGTGGGATGGGTGGCCGGGGCGCGGCTGATGTGCAGGTGGGTGTCCAGGAGCCGGGCCGCCGAGGCCACCGGGGAGCCCCCGGCTTGCAGGAGGTGGGCCGGCAGCAGTGGGCTGGGCGCCAACCCCAGCTCTTTCTGGAGTCCCGACACCAGGAGGGCGCCGTCGCACGGGGCGAGGACCAGCGGAGCCGGGGGCAGCTGGGGGGCCGGCGGGCAGCTGGGCGGGCCTGCCAGGTGGTGCTGCAACTGGAGCAACCTGGAGGGGCACGAGGGGGCGGGGAGGGGGACCGGGTCACGGCTGCCCTATCCGCTGAGCCGCCCAGCAAGTCCTGCCGCCCGGCCCGGCGGACCCGCTCCCGGGGCTCCCCACCGCCGATCCTCCGGCCGGAGCTGCTCCCCACGCGCCACTCTGTGCGTGACTAATCCCCTGAGCAATTCCTGACATTTCCATACTGCGTCTGGCTTTTGCAGCAGCTGAGATGCCAACCAGACGTGACATTCTTAGTCACGGCCCCCCGTCCCCCCACTTATGGGCGGGCCTCACAGTGAGGGCACCTGACGGCTCCCCACCTCCACCACCCTCTACAGGGAACGAGGCCTGACCTCGCTCGCAGCCCTCCCCAGGCGCTCACGAGATCGCACGGACAAGGGGACCAGCTAGAGAGATGCGGTCACTCAAGAGAGCCGGCTGCCCGGGAGCGCTCCCGCGGGGACCCTGACGGGCGCCAAGCACGTACCTCTGCTGGTGTAGGACCTCTTCCAGCAGGCTCCGGCCCTCCCGGCCGCTGGCCCCGCTGCCGTGCAGGCCCGGGCTCTGCGCAGGCAGCTGGAAGGCGCTCAGGCCACCCCTGGAGGCACGGCTGGAGCAGGAGGGCAGGCACACCTGGCGAGCCAGCCCCTTGATCTTGTTCAGGCCCAGGAGCCCTTTGGTCCTCGCGTTCTTCCTCAGCTGCTGTCGGAAGGCTTTCAGCCCTGGGGGGGGGAGGGCAGGCGGCCGGGATGGTCAGCGGGTCTCCTCCCCAAGGCCAGCGAGGGGTTTGCAGACCGCGGGGAGGTGGAAGGAGGGACCCGGCGCCAATGTGAGGGGACAGATGGATGGCCTGCCTTCCTGCCGGGGTCGCGGGTACCCTTTGGTTACCTGGCCGCTTCTCGCTACAGCCCCTTCTGGGGCACAGGTACAAGTCTGGGGCAGACGAGCCTCTGGGGAAGGAGGGCATAAGCACTGCTTTGGGACAAGGGAGGGAGCCCAGGCAGGCAGGTGGGAGCCACCGTCTCCGAACTAGGAGGGACTGGGCATCCAAGTGTCTACTGGGCTTTTCAGACCAGCCACCAGAAGACTGGGTGAGCTTGTCCCGGAAGAGCAGGACATCTAGAATCTGGGAGCTCTGCCGCTAGGCCAGGCCCGGGTAGATGCTGGGGACATGCCATCTGCCCCAGGACAAAACAATGCCCTCCATGGCCACAGGGCATCTATTGGGAAGGGGAAGTGTGCACAGAAGCAGAAGTCACCTTGAGTGAGCGAGGTGTCCGACGCCCTCCGGCCTTCCTGGAAGCTGATGGGGAGCAGCGTGACCCCTCCTGGGGCCCCCTGAGCCTGCAGCACTGGGGTGGCAGACTGGGCCCCCAGGAGCGGGGAGGCCAGTCTGAGAGGGGAGCAGGTGCCCACCAGCCCCTGAGCGGCCAGGCGTCCACCGAGCCCCGCCGGGCCTTCGCCCGCTGAGGTCAGGCAGCTATCGGAGCTGGCGCCTTCTGACGGGCTCGCGGCAGAGGATGAGATGACTATACCTGGGGAAGGAGCACGCGCTCTTGAGGGGGCCCTGATGCTCCCGAGGCCAGAAGCAGACCCCCAGGACCCAACCGTTCTCAATGGAAATCACAAGTGGCCACAGCTCTGGGAGAGGAACAGGCAGGGACACCTTCTCCGTGCCTGGCGCAGCCTCTCCCTGGCCCGTGGGTGCCCATGTGGCCTGAGGACGGGGCGGGCAGCCATACCTGCCTCCACGTATCTACCCTCAGCCATACTGCAGAGGGGCCCACAATGGCCAGAGGCTATCGGAGTTTGGGAGCTGTGACAATGGCCGGCCACCACGAGCGGGCAGTGGTCCCTGCAGCTGACTTGGGGTGGGGAGGTTCTCACGAGGTCACCCAGAGTCTGGACGGAGGACCTGCCCTCCCAGCCCCCAGGGGCAGTTAAACCCCACAGTCCTGCCACCAGAGGGCCATGTGCAGTCTTGTGCCATCATCTGTGTGGCCCAGGGGGGCAGAGGCGGTCAAACAAGTGACCAATCTGGACGTGTGTCATCAGAAACCGCCCAGCAAGAAACGTTCACATCACATCGGTGGGTCAGAGCCTCAACCGTCAACCCACCACTCAGGCCGCACTCTAGGCCCGCGTCCCTGGCCCGCGAGAACACTTACACGGAGGGGCGCATGGGGAGAAGCAGGTGGAGACCTCGGCCAGTGTGTGCCTGCGGCCCGTGCCGCCGGACAGGGGCTTCTGGGCCTCCCGCTCCTCCTCCAGGCCCGGGCCCTGCCTGACTTCCTCTCCAACGGGCACGTCCAGCAGGCCGCTGGGGGAGATGGAGCGATGCCGGAACACTCCGTTGCAGTTGGCGTCCAGGGGGAAAAGCAAGGGCTGCGAGGGGACAGACACAGACCAGTGACTCCCAGGGCTCCGTGGGGCCCGGGCAGGGGGGACGTTGCTATGGCTGGGAGAACCCCTCCCCTGACGGCTACCCGGTGAAGGTCACACACCTGGAGGGAGCTGAGGGGGTCACAGTCCGTGTCGGCCTGCAGGACAGACTGCCCCAAGGCCTGGGGCTGTGGGCACAGCAGGGAGGATTGGAAAGAGTCACTGGAGAGGCCTTCCTGAAGCACCTGTGGGCAGGCAGAGGACAGACACCATCAGGCAGGCGGCTCTGGGGACCGTCACCAGCAGCGTCACGAGGAAGACCCCACCGGCTCTGCTGTGGGGCTGACAGACATCAGTCGCTCACTGACTGGGCTTAGGACACAGGCACCCTCCTCTCCAAGGACACGCCGCACGGGGTGACCAGAAGGTGTTGAGAGGCCAGATCGGGGACGGTTAAGGAACAAGTGGCCATGGAGCGGTGCCTGACCCTCAGCAGAGGTAGCCAGTGCCCCCTCTGGTCCGTGGCTCACACAGGAACCCCCCCAACACCCATGCCTAACGGGCGGGAGATGTGGCCTGGGGGACCGTGCGCTCAGCGTCTGGCTCCCGGGCCTGTCCGGGCAAGGGATTTCGGGCGGGGGCGGGGGCCACCATCCAGAGCAGAGCCCGCGAAGGGGACGGTTCCCCCACCTCACAGCTGCTGAGGTCGGAGCTCCTGGGCCTTTGCGGCCGGGCGGGGCTGGGCCGGGCCGCTGGCGGGGTGGGCCGGCGGTCCTTCAGCCGCTCCAGGAGGAGGTAATAAATGGCAGCAAAGTGGTTGTAGCTGCTGTTCTGCAGGGACTGGGGGAGGCGGAGAGGAGCGGGGTCAGAGCGGGGGTCAGGGCCGGGGGTGGGGGGGTGGGGGGGAACAGGGAGGGGCTGGGGAGTGGGGGCAGGGCCTCGAACACTGCTCCCAGGGTTATTCTTGGGTGGCCCAGAAGGTCCTCTAGAGGAGCGGACAGCTGGCCCTTAAATTAGCCCAGGTTCCCGTTTTAACTCGACGGGCGAGCGCCCGCTTCTCGCAGGGAGCGCATCCCCCGTCGGGGCACCCGCGGGGCCGGGGCGGGCCGGGTGCTCACCTCCACGGTGCGCTGCCGGTCGATGCCGAGGCTGTGCATCACGCCCAGCACCTGCTCGTCGTAGCGGCCCAGGCTGGAGGCGTAGCCGAGCGTGGGGAAGGCCGAGCAGGGGGGCCGCGGCACGGAGGGCTCGGCCTGCATCCAACGGTGCTGGCGGATCTGGGCGATGGTGATGCGCTTGGCAGGGTCCACCACCAGCATGCGGCGGATCAGGGTCTCACAGTCTGGGGGAGGGGGACCTGCTGAGCCTGGTGCAGGAGCCAGCTGCGGGCACGTGCCCACCACCCCTCGCCCGGTGCCCGCCGCAGCCCTGCTGGGGACCAGAGCCCCTTCCTGAGGGCAAATGGCCAGGGACGTAGTCCTGCTAATCGGCCCAGACAGAGGGAGACTTAAACTCTACAGTGACTGGGCCAGCATCCCCAGTGCTGGGGCCGGCAGGGGACCCGACACCAGGCCCTTTCCAGAGGACAGCAGAGCCCAGGCACCCACATCCCCATAAGTAGGGCACAGGGAAAACACCTAGTGGGCTGGGTTTCTCCCGCGGGCAGCTGACCCGCACACCTGACGGCACACTCTAGCCCAGTCAGGTGGCAATTCGGGCGACCAGTTCCTCCTCCCTCTCCAAAACTCTCCTCCTGGGGGACGCGACAGTCCCTGCAGCAGGCCGGTGGCGGCGCCTACCTTGAGACATGAAGAAGGGGATGCGGAAACGGCCCTCCAGCACCCGCTGGCGCAGAGCTGGCAGGTTGGGCCCGTCGAAGGGGAGCGAGCCGCAGACCAGGACGTAGAGCACGACACCCAGGCTCTGCGAAGGACCACAGGCTGCCTGTCAGTGCCCGCGCCCCGGGCTTCGTAGCCATTCCCGAGAGCACTGGGGGCCCCGCACGCCGCACACGTGGGCTCCTACCCAGATGTCCAGCTGGGGGCCTTCGTACTCCTTCCCCTCGAAGACCTCTGGGGCCGCATACGGGGGGCTCCCACACCACGTGGACAGGGGCTCTCCTGACTTGTAGAAATTCCCGAACCCGAAATCTGAGGGACAAGAACACGGGCGGTGAAGTCACGGTAGAAACATCAGGGCCCAGGTTCTGCAGCTGTGTGTGCGAGCGGCCCAGAGACTCTGGCCGGTGGGCACTCCCCACCTCCGCCCCCACGAGGCGGCCGGGCCCGGGCCCCCTTGCCTGCCAGCTTGATGTCCATGCTGCCGTCCAGCAGCAGGTTCTCCGTCTTGAGGTCCCGGTGCACGATGTGGTGGCTGTGGCAGTACTCCACGGCCGACAGAATCTGCCAGAACTTCTTACGCGCTTCGTTCTCGCTGAGGTGCCCGTTGGAAGTCAAATAATCTGAGGAGTGACAGCCCAAAGCTAGAGCGCGACACCCTGAAGCCGGCCGCCCTCTGGCGCAGCGAAAGAGCGCCACGGGAGCTCGGGAGGGGTGGCCCGGGAGGCTGGAGGGGCGGCTGAGGACAAGTTCCCAGGTCTGTTTTCACCAGATACCAAAAAGAGGCATGGCTTACCGAACATTTCTCCATTCTTTGCGAACTCGGTGACAATATAAAGCATATCCTTTGTTTCCATAACCTAGAAACACAAAGACCTAACGTTTAACCCCACGGAAAGGGAACATACCCCGGGTGTGAACAGAGCACTGGAACCCCTGTCACTTGCTAACCTTCCCAGGACGAGTGCATCCAGTAGGTTTAAGAAGGAAGAGAAAACACACACTTCTGCGTTAAAAGAACAGAGACGGGATCCTACGCAAAACAAGAATTTGAAACATCGGAGCGGAATTCTGCACCAGCCCGCCTAGCCGGCTGCGCCAGAACCCGCCGTATCACGGCGCTCGCCCAGCGGCCTCGCCGCCCCGAGGCCTCAGCCCGGGACAGCAGGATGCCGGGAGAGCGCCGCTGCGGCTTTCCGCCCGAAGCCTGGCCCGCAGCCGCCGAGCTCACCCGGACGCCGATACCCGCTTCCCACCGGCCTCACTGACTTGGTAACTTAGGGGCTGACCGGCGGTGCCGCCAGGTGAGAGACCGCTCTCTGTACCAAGACCCACTCGGCCCGTGTGAACAGCAATACCCAAGGTCAAACACACCCGCCAGGTGCACATGCTGATGCGAGAATGCGACCTCGCTCCGAAAACCCACGTTTAAGAGGCTTTCAGAAACAAGGTAGAATTCAAATCTGTGGCACTGCAAGAAGCAACGCGCATCCCTTTATTTTAAAATATTTCGGAGAGAGACACACAGAGACAGCATATTCTTACGGAGGCAGGCTTCTTTAAGGTTCAAAATATAGTTGTTCCTTAAAAAAGACACTTTAAAGACAACTGCTTTCAGCCATAAATCTAACAAGAAAGGGGAGGCGGTGCAGGCCAGGAAATTTTAACCATCCCGGCCCTCGGTGTGTGTAGCTGTCGCGAGTAAGAAGCCCACGGTTTATCCCTTCCCTCAATTCAAGAGACAAGAGAAAGAACGAAGACTGAACATGTTTTGAGGTTTAGAAATGCTCAAGGCAAGAGGGAAGTGTCTCCCCAAGGTTGCGGGCCTGGGCCAGCCGGAGGAGAATCACACCGGTGTCAGACCGCGAGGAAGGACAGGCACGACCGTCCCATGGGAGCCGCTGCTCTCCAAGCCGCTCGGCCACCAAACACCCCCCGGAAAGGACGGTGAACTCCGGGGACGCGGGCTGTGCGCCCTCTAACTGGGCTGCTCCGCACAGTGGGCCGCCGGGGGACAGGAAGCCCAGGAAGGTGCGGCCTGGCTCATCCCTCTGGCAAAGTCAAAAACAGGGTTCAGCCCTCCTGCGGAAACAGGCCAGGCACATTTCTCAGGCACTGACATCAGGGACCATGAGGAAACTTCTTATCAGAGCAGCACGACTTGGAGATGACACAGGAACAAAGCCCAGCCAGCGCGGACAGTGACGGGCGCCCTGCTCTTAATGACTCTGAGTAAACGGTCATTCCGGGGAACACAAGCCCAATGACGCGGCTCCCGTGGGGTAATTTTCTATTCTAATTCCCTCTCCTACCACACCATACACCCAGCCTTGCCAACTGCATGGGCACACACGCACCCCGTGCCACGTTCATCTCAGAGTCACAGGCCTTCACGACAATCACCGAGCGGACCTTACGCCCAGCCCAGCTGGATGGAGCATTGAGCATCTGCAAAGAACCTCTTCTGCAAGCCGACTGCCCCTCATTTGCACAAGCCGGCAGCTGACTCCAAGACAGCTTCGCTTGCTGCCCTAATTAAATCAACGCTTACATCCCAAAGACATAATTTCTTAGTTTCAACACGATAACAAAAATCAAGTCAGAAGACAAACCGACAGGCGGACAGGGTGAGGCGTGTTCCTAATGTGCATTAAATGGCAAGTTCCCTGTTCTCGCCAGGGCAAAAGCATTTCCCTCTCTCCATTTCTGGCGGAAGAGTTTAAAGGGGAAGACGGATGATCACTGCAGCCTTTGCAAAGGTAAGTTTACAAAAACTAGCAAGAGCAGCCGGTTTTCAACTTTAACAATTATCTGCAAAAGCAGACAGTGTCTCGTTTCACTAAAATCTGTCCTTCTACACGAAACGCTTGACTTGCGACAGTACACAGATCTAGCTGTCTGTTTTCATAGTAACATCTGAGCTCTACGCATCTAAAACGGGAATAAATGCCAACACTAAGTAACATTTTGATGAAGCAAACTTCCCATTATGAACCAAAAGCCAGAAAATAATTGAAAATACATCTGAAGACCTAACAAGAACCAGTTTACTCTACACACCCCCTCCCCTCCCTGACTGCCACAAACACCCAAAGAGGGGCAAAATCCGGAAACTGCAGGCTTCTTGCGGAGAACACCCTTGCAGGGACCCACAGGAAAAGGCGAACTTGAGCCCTTACCTGGTATAGCTTTATGATGTGAGGGTGATTCAGAAGCTTCATGATCTGAACCTCACGGTAGATTTTCTCCAGGTTGCTCGAATCTAATCGGGTCTTATCAATTATTTTTATTGCAACCTATGGTTTAAAAAAAAAAAAAGGATAGTCTGTTTAAAAAAAAACAACACCTTTTGCTTACACACTATATTTTTTACAGCTTCATTTCTAAAACACTTTACGGCCCCAAAACATCAAAAAAAGTTGGAGGAAAAAAATAAGCAGAGTGACCGTCAGCAGTAGTTAAGACAGTCCGAGTTGAGAACGTGAGCTACGTCTCGGGGGCTCCCCGGCTCCGCCGGCCCCGATATCCGCACAAATTACTCGGGATCGTGATATACAGCGTTTTCTCTTCACCGGGACTGAGAACCGTCAGCGCGGGGCCGGTCCGCGATGGACAGGGGCTCCCCCTCCCCGCACCCCGGGTGGGAGCCCCGGGCCGGGGCCGCCGCACGCACCTGGGTCTTGGTGACTCGATGGCGGGCCAGCTTCACCACCGCGAAGTTGCCCTTGCCCAGCGTCCGCTCCACGTCGTAGAAGCCCACGCGGAGGGGCTTCTGCTGGCCCTGGCCGGGGCCGGCGGGGGCCGCGCTCAGCTCGGACATGATCACCATGGCTCCGCGCCGCACCTGCGGGCCGCCGGGAGCGCGCTCAGCGCCGGCCGCCCCGACCCGCCCGGCCCCGCGCCCCGCACCCCGCCGCCCCCGCGCGCTGCTCCGACCCAACCTCCTCACCCCGCCGGGCGCGCACCCGCTCCCGCGCCCGCCCCGCCGCCCGGGGCCGCTGCGCTCGGGCCCCCGAGACCCCCGGCCCCGCGGGGCGCCGCGACCCGCTCCCGCGCCGACCCCCCGCCCCGCCGCCCGCGGTCGGCTGCGTCTCGGCCGCCGGCCCTTCACCCCGCGGGGCCGCCCGCTCCCCCGCGCCCCGCCGCCCGCGCCGTCCCGACCCCGGACCGCGAGCCCCGGGGGCTGCTCGCCCGCCCGCCCCACAACAAAGGGGAGCCCGGCGGCGGGGGCAGCGGTCCCGGCCCGCGACCCCCACTCGCGCGCCTCCGGGCCCCAGAGCCCCGCGCGGCGCCGCAAACCCGAGCCCCAGAGCCCCGGCCCCGCCGCCCCGAGCGCAGAGGCGGCCACCCCGGCCGTGCCGCCGCCTTACCGCTGCCGCCCTCCGCGCGCCGAGGCTGGGCCGCCGCTCGCCCCGCGCTCCCCGCCGCCCGCTCGTTCGCTCGCGCTGCTCGGGCGCCTGCTGCTCGGGCTGCCGCCGCCGCCGCCTCCTCCGCCGCCACCACCGCCGCCGCCCGGGCCGCGCCGCATGTCAGCTCTGAGGCCGCGCCGCGCGCTCGGGCCGC